TGGGCTGACGGACCCCCCTCCTGTGCACGAATTTCATGCACCGGGCCTCTAGTATATCTATAATTAATGTCAAAAAAATAGAGAACAATATGGACAGGAAAGGTAACATGCAATCTTTTAACACAATTAAAATCTACAAAAAGATTCAAATGGACATTTTAGAACTGCAAAATTCAGTATCTGAAGAATTTATTAGATGGGTTTAGAAGCAGACTGAACACATTAATCCTATTATAGAATTAATAAGTGCAAAGACAGACCAATAGAAAACATATAAATTGAAGCACAGAAAAAAAATGTAAAAAAAGAAAACAGAGCATGAGAAAGACAGGAATAAAAAAGTTCCAACAGTAAATCTAACTGGAGTGCTGGAAGCAAAGGCAAGAATAAGAAAAAGCAGTATTTGAAGAAATAATGACCAACAATTTTCCAAGGCTGTGTGAGGACATTGATCAATAGATTAGAGGAGGTCAGAAAACCTTAGGTGGCATAAATATGAAACTCACACCTTAGAAATCATAGTCAAATGCATGAAAATCAAAGATAAAAAACATTAAAAGCAGGTGATCTCACCTCTTAAGACTCTCTTCCTTAATCCCTCTCTTCCTTGCTGTTCCTTGAACATACTTGGCAAATCTTGCGTTAGAGGCCTTGTAGTGGCTGTTTCCTTGGCCGGAACACTATCCCCCAAAATGTCTCTCCAGACACTTTATTTAAAAACTAGAGGCTCAGTGCACAAATTTGTGTACGGGTGGGGTCCAGCCAGCCCGTCCCAATGGGGGCCATCAGGCTGGGCTGGTGGGGGGAGGGGACTCGGGAGGTCAGCCGGCCCCACCCCCAATTGGGGGGGGCAGCCAAGGGTGGGGCAAGCTGGGGAGGGGGGGGCAAATGGGGCCTCAATAGGGCCGATTGTCTGCCTCAGTGTGCATCATAGCAACCGGTCATTCCGGTCGCTTGGCTTTTATATATATAGATCATAGCCTACTTCCCACCCACCTGTGCATCTTCCTCTCCACCCCATCCATGCCCTTAGACTTCCAATCACACCACCATGCCTTATTTTTCCTCATTGAACCTTTCACCTTCTAATATATAATTTACTTATTATGTTTACTGCTTATTGTCTGTCTTTACCCACTGAAAGGTTATCTTTGAAAGGTTTTGTTGATTGTTGTACCCCAAGTATCTTTAACAGTGTTTTGCACACATAGGTGCTCAAAGATTATTTGTTAACCATTATATTGTTACCATTATTAATCCAAGCCTTCTTAGTCACCAAATAACTTGCTTGTGTCATGTCCTCCCTATAATATAGCTTTCTCTATTTACCATTAGAAACGCTTTTGACATGTGACACAGTGGTACTATGGGGCAGTAGTTAAATAAAAAAACACAGACTCTGAAAACAGATTGTTATTAGTAGGAAAGGAGTGAACGGGAAGACTAGATATAGACAGGCCATTTATACAGTTTTGCAAAAAAACTGCATTTAGCACTCTGCAAGTCTATTCTCTGCTGATCAGTAGGGGACGGGACTGGACAAAGGCAGTTTAGATGCATGCCCAACAAGGCCTGAGTAACATGAGAAAACGCTTGCCTGTTAATCACACCTGGAAACAGGCAATTGGCCAGCATGGACATGGCCACTACATGTGCATGAAGTCTAAATATATTTATTTCTAGACAAAGGCTCTAGGGCTCTGGCTCCTGGAACTCCTGCTGCAGGGGCTTGAGTCTCCTGCACCTGCATGGCGCATAGCCATGTTGGGCTCCATACATGGACGAATGAACTTTAATTAGCCTGAATACTGAACCACACCTGGCTGCAACATGGAACGGGAGCTCTGGACACTGGCCTTGTTTCTGACTTTGCTGGACTCCCAGCTACACCTTTTCCAGGACTGGCTTAAGGGGCAGGGGACTTTGGAAGCCAAGAAATATAACTCCATGCCAATAAAGCTTGTTTCCACATCCCATCCTTCTTTCAGGGGCACCCAAGAACCAAGTCTGGCCCTTGAATTCCTCTGGCATCAACAGGATTCCATATGCATACATTCTGCATTCCATATACATATGTCTTCTTTCGTAGAATATAGGTAAACAACCAAATTGATGCTCATTACTAATTAATTTATACACACACACTCATAGTAGCAATAATATCACTTGTGTAGTGGTTTTACAGGTTCTAAGTATTTTACATATTAATGCATTTAATCCTTCTAACAACCTCTTGGAAACCAAGGCACAGAAAAATTAATTTGTATCAAGTCCTATAGCTACTAAGTGACTGAGTCAGGATTTAGATCCATTTTGGGCTTCAATTAAACACACACACACACACACACACACACACAGTTGGGCTTCAATTAAACACACACACACACACCCCTTTTTAGATTAGAAAGGCAATACCTAAATAAATAAAAATGAACTAAATAGCCCTGGCTGGTGTGGCTCAGTTGATTGGGTGTCATCCCATGCACAGAAGGGTTGCCAGTTCAATTCCCAGTCAGGGCACAAGCTCAGGTTGTGGGGTCAATCCCTGGTAGAGGGCATTCAGGAGGCAGCCAGCCACTCTCGCATTGGTGTTTATTCTCTCTCCCTTTCTTTCTCTCTAAAAATCAATAAAAATAAAAATTTTAAATGATCTACATATAACAACTAAATTGAAGTCTGTTAAAACAAAACTTTTGTTAGTACTAAAGAACGAAATGCAGATATTAGTAGATGTCACTAGGTGATGCTGTTTGTTAAATTTCCCTCCCGGTAATCTGAGGAATTATTATTTATTCAGATGGGAAAGAACTTATTCTAGGCCTAATAAAAATTTAGTTGTCTCTTTAGCCACAAAAGTTATACAGTCCAGAAAATAAATTTATATGCAAACAGGTAAGCCACACAAAGAAACTTTTAGTAAGACTGTAAGCTTAGAGTATTGAGACTTCCACATAATGAACATGGTATTTCTCTCTACTTATTTTATCTTTCTCTATTTTTTTCTCCATTTTCTTTAATGCCTTGATAAGATTTTGTCGACAGAGTTCTTGAGTATTTTAAAAATTTATTTCTGGTTAACATGTCTTTGATGCCACTGTAATGTTATCTGTCTTTACCTTTTATGTCAAACATTTTTAAAACATTTTTCCCCCCGATTGATTTTCAGAGAGGGAGACAGAGAAACATCAATTTGTTGTTCCACTTATTGATGCATTCATTGGTTACTTTTTGTATGTGCCCTGACCAGGGATCGAACTCACAATCTTGGCGTATCGGGACAACACTCTAACCAACTGAGCTACCCAGCCAGGGCCTATGTTGAAATATTTTAAATTGACATTACACTCTTAACGAGGCAAAATGTATGCTGCACACATACCAAACTGACAGAAATTCAGCAATTTGATACCAAGTGTTGGAAACGAGGCAGAGCACTGGAACTCTGACACACTGCTGTGGGGAAGGGAGATGGCAGTCCTTCTGGAAAGACAGCTGGCACTGTAGTATGGTAATACTGATGCCCTCGACAACTGCTAGATTCATGTATACAAAAATGTGTACCACGAAATAAGACGTGTACCAAAAACACATATAACGATGTTCAAAGCAATATTCTTTGTAATAGGGAAAAATTGAGATAACTCAAATGACTCTCAACATTAGAGAGTATAAAATAAATCGTGGTACATAAATACAATAGAATAAAACAGAGACATCTAAATGAACTAGTAACAGCTTTTGCAACAACCTGAATCAATCTCACTAATTTCATAATAATAAAATAAAGAAGAGCTACAAAATAACGTGCATAGTGTATTCAAAACTAATGCCTGCCACTTATTTTTAAATGGTTCAGCAAATAAAATATATATCCATATCCACCTATTCAGATACAAACAAAATGTGCAAACTGTTAACAAATATGAATCTAGGTAGGATTATACAAAGGTTCATTGCATTATTTTGCTACTTTTCTTTAGGTTTGAGATTTTTCATAATAAAAAAAAAAGTTCAAAAATCAGATAAAGCTAATTTACATTGTTTAGGAGTAGTTCTTCATCTGTGTGATAGATGTATGAGTTTTCTTTATAAGTATTTACTAAACTATACATACATATTTTATGCAGTTTTCTGTATGTATATTTTATAAAAGAAAAAAGGTTAAAATGTGATGATAAAAATACATTTAAAAAAGCTGCTACATACTTGTTAAACATTATTATTTAAAAAATTAACTTTCTGCTTTATAAAGCAACCAAACATTAAGTTAGAGGGCTTTTGTTTATGGGTTATTTTCTTGAGATAAATTTATCAAAAGGAACATACCTGAGGACCAATTTTTGAGGCTAGCAATAATGTCACCTGATTTTTTTCTATGAGATAGTTCTTACAAAACCTTCAATTCTGAATCTTGTTACTTTGATATTCTTCTATATAATTTCCATGAACTGCATTATGATACCCCAATGCTCACTGGGCAGATCTTCTAGCATATGCTACTTAGAAATTTATTGTAAGAAAAGTCTACATAAGTTTTATAATTGTTCAAATATTATTCACAATTTATATTGTCCATGTATAAATGTTATCATTTTCTATAGGTTATTCTAAATTCTTTATTAGGATTTCACAGTATTTTTCTGTAAAACCCTCAAAGTAGAAAGTTGTTCAGAATTTCATGTTTTCACACTGACTTTTAATATATTAATCTATTTGATTGTCATCTTCTTCTGAGTCATCTAAATCAGTATTAAAATCTAAATCATCACTTTCTTCTTTATTTCTTCTGCAGCTTCTTCTACAATTGGAATGTGGATTGTTTTCAATGTTTTCTGTCTTTTCTGGTTCTTTATTAAACCTAAAGATGAAAGGAAAAACCTCTTTATTTCCCAGGCTTTCACTATTTACTTGTGTAGATTGAAAATAACATTACACTACATTTCCTGATTAACAGAAGCCGAATGAAATAAGTAAAAAGGAAAAAATCCTTGAAGACTAAGTTAAGATCCAACAAATTATATTATTATAATTCTTTAATGTCTTTTTCAATATATAGTTATTGACTGTTGTCAAAAAAGGAGGCTCAAAGAAATTAATGTGTGATGTCCAGTAAAGAAAAGTAGTTACATAATAAAGAACTTTTTAATAATGAGTAATGAATATGAACCTCATGGATAAGTATTTTAATTTCCTAAAAATATAAAGTTTCACTTCAGTCTGTAATGATAAATTAAGACTTTTTTCTATTAGGTAGAAAAAGTCTACATTAGTGTGATACACTGAAACTTAAGACCTTCAGAGCTAATGAACATTTCCTGAAATAAAATTCGCTTACTAATTACTAAAACAGTAAAACCCAAACATAAAAGAAATACTCACGGAGTAACAATGTCTTCTTTCTTTCCACATTTTGCGCAAACTTCAAGTTCACAGGCACATGGTCTACATATTATGTGATAAGAATCTTTCACTGTCTTTTGTAAACATTTAACACTAAAAGTAGAAAATGAAATCAAACATTAATTTTTACTAATTACCTAAGATGTATTTGATAAAATGAGGAAGTAAAGCTAAATGTCTAGATAAAAAGCCCCAAAATCAAAACTCCTAAATTCTAATCTCAGAAAAAGGAGACATATGTAAAACTTTAGACAATTAAAAAAAAATTCCAACCTCATGTATTTATCTTATATAACTTTACATTAAATAAAGCATTTCTAGATAACAGGTTACAGATCAACTTGAGATTTATCTGCTTTCAAAATGCCTTAAAAAATGTCATCTGCAAACAGTGACAGTTTTACTTCTCCCTTTCCAACTTGGATGCCCTTTATTTCTTTTTAAATATAATTTTGCCTAATTACTCTGGCCAGAACTTACAATACTATCCTATATAATAAAGCGGTGATTGGCAAATTGACCATCATGCCCTCACACAAGATGGTCACCCCCATGTGGTCACAAGATGGCCGGCAGGGGAGGGCAGTTAGGGGCAACCAGGCCGGCAGGGGAGGGCAGTTGGGGAGGACCAGGCCTGCAGGGGAGGGCAGTTAGGGTCAACCAGGCTGGCAGGGGAGTGGTTAGGGAGTGATCAGGCTGGCAGGCAGAAGCAGTTAGGGGCAATCAGGCAGACAGGCAGGTGAGCGGTTGGGAGCCAGAAGTCCTGGATTGTGAGAGGGATGTCCAACTGCAGTTACAAGATGGCCACCACAAGATCAGGCCTAAACTGGCAGTTGGACATCCCCCAAGGGATCCCAGATTGGAGAGGGTGCAGGCTGAGCTGAGGTACACCCCTCCCCCCCAGTGCACGAATTTCATTTCCGGGCCTCTAGTGTTGAATAAAAGTGGTAAGAGTGGGCATTCTGTCTTGTTCTGATCTTACAGGAAAAGCTTTCAGCTTTCCACTGTTGAATATGTCAGCTGTGTGCTGACAACTATTAAGATGATCATATGATTTTCATCTTTCATTCTGTTAATGTGGTGTATCACATTGATTGATTTGTAGATGATAAACTATCCTTGCATTCCTGGAACAAATCCCACTTGATTATGGTATATGATCTTTTTAATGTTTAAATAGGCCCTGCATTGAGCCTATTTATAAACATAGGCTTATAAACAATAGCCAAATTTATAAGAGCTATTGCTCTTTCAAAACTCTTAATCCATGCTTGACATCCTATTCAATTTAAACTATTGAATTTGATTTGCTAATAATCGGTTGAGGATTTTTGCTTATAAGGTATATTAATCAGGAATATTGGCCTGTACTTTTCTTTTCTTGTGGTATCTTTGTCTAGTTTTAGTATCAGTGATGCAGGCCTTATAAAATGGGTTTGGAAGTGTTCCCTCCTATTTTTTGGAAGAGTTAAGAAGAGTTGGTATTAATTTTTAGAATGTTTGGTAGAAATCAACAGTGAAGCTGTCTGATCTTGCACTTTTGTTTGTTGGGAGTTTTTGATTATTGATTCAATCTCTTTACTAGTAATCTATTCAGATTTTCTCTTCCTTAATGATTCAGTCTTGGCAGGTTGTATGTCTAGGAATTTATCTGTTTCTTCTAGGTTGTCAAATTTGTTGGTGTACAATTGTTCATAGTCTGTTGTGAATCTTTGTATTTTTGTGGTATCAGTTATAACATCTCTTTCATTTTGGATTTTATTTATTTGAGAATCCTCTCTTTCTAGCTAAAGATCTGTCAATTTTGTTTATGTTTTTAACTAATCAACTCATTAATATTTTCTATTGTCTTTTTAGTTTCTATTTCATTTATTTCAGCTCTGATCTATGTTGCTTCCTTCTTTCTCATTGCTTTGTACTTTTTTCTTCTTTTTCTAGTTCCTTGAGGTGTAAAGTTAGATTTTGTTTCTTGATCTAAGCAGTTATTGCTGTGAACGTCTCTCTTAGAACAGTTACTGTTACATCCCAATGTTTTGGTATGTTCTATTTCCATTTTCACTTATCTCAGGGTATTTTTTTTTTAATTTCTCTCAGATTTCTTCTTTGACCCATTGATTGTTTAATAGCATGTTGCTTATTCTCCACAAATTAGCAAATTTTCTGGTTTTCTTCTTGTAATTTGATTTCTAGTTTCATATCATTGTGGTTGCAAAAGATGCTTGATATAATTTTAATCTTAAATTTTTATCACTTGTTTTGAGGACTAACATATGATTTATCCTCAACAATAGTCCATGTGCACTTGAGAATAATGTATATTCCATTGCTTTAGGATAGAATGTTCTGCAAATCTATAATAATAAAAGCGTAATATGCTAATTAGAGCAGACAGCCGAACAACCTTCCAGATGAAGCTGGGGCTTTGAGGGCCGAGGCAAGCTGCCACGGCTGTGAGGGCTGAGCCCCTTGCACGAATTTCGTGCATCAGGCCTCTAGTATCTGTATAATATTGTTAAAATGCTCATACTACTTAAAGCAATGTATAGATTCAATGCAATCCCTATCAAAATCTTGACATTTTTCATGGAAATAAAACAAATAATTCTGAAATTTATATGCACAAAAGACCCCATATAGCCAAAGCAATATTGAGAAAAATGAACAAAGTTGGAGGCATCATGCTCCCTGATTTCAAACTATATTACAAAGCTATAATGATGAAAACAGTATGATATTGACATAAAAGAGACATACAGATCAAAGAGAATAGAGCCCAGAAATAAACTCACTCAATTAATTTGCAATAAAGAAGTCAAAAATATATTAACAAACTCTTCAATAATTGCTGGGAAAACTGGACAGCCTCAAACATAGGAAAAGAAAATGGACCACAATTATACATCATATCCCAAAACTATCTAAAAATGGATTAAAGACTTAAATGTGAGACCTGAAACCATAAAACTCCTAAAAACACACACACACAATAAAAACATAGGCTGTAAGCAATGATTCTTTAAATTTGACACCAAAATTAAATGGAACAAAAAAACAAAAAATAAGCAAGTGGGACTAAATCAAACTAAAAAGCTCTGTACAACAAAGGAAACCATCAATAAAATAAAAAGGCAACCTACTGAATGGGGAAAATATAAGTAAAACATGTATCTGTAAGGGGTTAATATCCAAAATATATGAAGGTCTCACACAAATCAATAGCAAAAACAAACAATCTGATTAAAAATTGGGCAGAGAATCTGAATAGACATTTTTCCAAAAACAATTAACAGATGGTCAACATGTATATGAAAAGACGTTCAGCATCACTAATTCTCAGGAAAATGCAAATCAAAACCACAATGAGATTATTTCTTCAAAAAGCTATTATCAAAAAGACTAGAAATAACAAGTGGTGGTGAGGATATAAAGAAAAGAGAACCCTTGTGCACTGTTGGTGGAAATGTAAATTGGTATAGCTAGTGCTATGGAAAAAGTATGGAGGTCCATCAAAAAATTAAAAAATAGAACTATCACATGACTCAGCAATCCACTTCTGGATATTTATCTGAAAAAAATGAAATCACTAACTGAAATCAATAAAAACCTTTTTAAAAATCCACTTTAAACATGAATATATAGTTAAAAAGAAAGTATTGTACCATGACAATGAAGGAATAAATTTTCCAAAAACACACAATATTCCTGAGTGTTTATGAATCCAACAACAGGCTAGAATAAATTCAATCTCTTTACTAGTAATCTATTCAGATTTTCTCTTCCTTAATGATTCAGTCTTGGCGGGTTGTATGCCTAGGAATTTATCTGTTTCTCCTAGGTTGTCAAATTTGTTGGTGTACAATTGTTCAGAGTCTGTTGTGAATCTTTGTATGTTAAAATAAATGAGGGAAAACTATGAAATAAAAAGAGAAATAGACAAGTTAAATTACAACTAGGGACTTCATCACCTCTCTCTGTAACCAACTGGACAAATAGACAAAAAAAAAAAAAAATCAGTAAGGATATAGAACACCTGGTTGACAGAAGACTATGAACCAAATTGACATTTATAGAACCCTCCACCCAACAAGGGCAATATGTTCTTTTCAAGTACACATGAAACATTCTCTAAGATAGATCATATCTGAGCCATAAAACCAACCTCAATAAATTTAAAAAAAACAAAAACCTGTGAACTTACACGAAATACGTTCTCTTACCACAGTGAAATTGACTGGAAATCAGTAACAGAAAAATATATGGAAAATGCCCAAATATCTATAAATTAGAACACTTCTAAAGAATCTACAGGTCAAAGAGGAAGTCACAGAAAAATTAGAAAATATTTTGACTGAAGGACAATGAAAACACATAATCAAAATTTGTAGAAAGAAGCTAAAAAAGTTCTTGGGAAATATATATAATTACATGTTTATATTAAAACAAGAAAAACAATCTAAACTTCTACCTTAAGAAAATAGAAAAAGACAAATAAATTAAACTAAAAGCAAACAAAAGGAAGAAATATTGATATAAACAGAAAACAATGAAATTGAAAACAGAAAAACAGAGAAAATTAGTAACACCAAAACCAGGCTCACTGAAAAGATTAATATAATTCATAAACACATAACCAGACTGATCAGGACAAAAAAAGGAGAAGAAACAAATTACCAATATCAGGAATTGAAGAAAGGACAGCATTATAGATCCAACAGATATTGAAAGAATAATAATAAAATTTTACTGACAACTCTATGCCTATAAATCCAACAACATCATTGAAGTGCACAAATTTGGGAAAGAGACGTTATCAAAACTTGCTTAAGAAGAAATACTTAATCTAAAAATTCCTCTATCCATTAAAGAAAAATTTAATCATAGTTAAAAACTCTCCAACAAGTAAAACTCCAGGCCCAAATGGCTTCATTGATGAATTCTACCAAACATTTAAGAAATACTAATTTTTTCAAAAACCTTCCAAAAAACAAAATAGGAAGAAACAGTTCCCAACTTATTTGATGAGGCCCTAATAGCAAAACAAACAAAAATTACAGATTAGTATTTCTAATAAACATAGATGTAAATATCTATGA